GTGGAAACATGGATGGGGCATCAAGTACATCACAAACCGCATTAAATATCAAGGAAAAATGAACTGACACATATGAACAAGTAGAACCCAGATTCAAATAAGCAATAGCCATCCGGTCACATATAAGAATAGTACATGTGATCACTGCCTCTGATGCCTCAACCTTGGTATTGCCCGAAACGGCATAAAACTGAGCCATGTCATCTCGATGGGCAACCTCTTTGCCTGGCTGCATTGCTCCCCTACCTGCATTATTATTTCCCCGGCCTCCACGGCCTCGTTGATTTTCTCCTAATAAGCCCAAGTTCTCCACAATTTTAACACACTTAATAACTTAACCAAGTAAGCATCGTTGCTATTGTAGTAGTCGTATCATGACCCTCTTTGATATACACTCAATCTAGAAAATCGCGGTTGATATTCTAACCTTAATTGTCGCAACATAATCTCATCCCGTACCAAGCAACCCATACATGTTATGACAACAATACCAATATTTTTTCTAAAGGAATGGTGTTCATTATCCAGTTGTCCCTTACAAAACTTCTTAAATATTGTCACCTATAAGCTTAAATCTGCAAATCTGACTTTAATCACTTCACAAAGCGATGAATTTTCTCTATGTTCAAAAATTCATCTCTCTTCCTATCCCTCAAAGTTTAGGGTATATATTTCTCCATACAGATAGCTATCAAATGTTTCCCAAGTCATGGGCAATGCATTTACTAGTCGGCACTCAACATGAGACCACCACAACAATTTGGTGTCTCGCTTGAATTGATATGTCACAAACTCAACCCTAAACCTCTCCATTATATGCATCTTAAGAAGCAACTCATGAAAGTCAACAAGGAAGTCCTAAACATCTTCATATTTCGTACCCATGAAGAATGAGACTTTCAACTTTAAGAACATAATAAAAATCGCATGTTTGTCTCTTATCATTACATGACCACAGCGAGTCAGGTAAACATACTTATTTCCAAGGACACATTTTTTGTTGTTGGTGTTGTTGTTACCACTTTTGTTGCTATAGTTCGGACCATAGAGTGAAGAAGGAAAAATATCAATTTGTATCACCCAGATACCAATTTGATTCAAGTCATAGCACGAAGGAGTAGAAAGAAGTGAGTTTTTTCTAAAGTCCTATAGCCTCTCAAAGAAAAGTACGAACATCTTCGTACCGTTCCGTAAGACTCTACTAGACTCGTTTTGGTACAATGAGATCAACGAATCAATGGCTCTGATACCAACTTTGTCAGAACCCAGACCGTCGTGATTGGCACCCACACTAACCATTTGGTGGAAGAACCGTTAATACTAATTAGCTAAACAAGAACTACACAACTAAATAAAAAGTTAAGGCATTTAAGTTACGGAAGCAGGTTTAAATGATCCAAAGAAATACAGAGTTCCCATGAACTCCAAAGGTTTAAACAAACTAGCCAAACTAATGCGGAAGAACAACCCCTAGAACCTAAAAGTCATCGTACCAAAACTCTACTAACGACAAGTCTAAGAACAAGGGGTACAACCCTAAAACTAAACAAACATCTTAAACAAATAGTCTGAGTTCGAAAAGAATGGACTTAAACAAGAGAGATCCATGGCAGCCTGAAAGAACTAGCTCACCCTTGAATCTGGTCACGCTCAATAGTCACCTAGCTAGGTCTATCAATAGTCGTCTGATAATGCCCTGCACTCAACAAAGAACAATCAAGTCCAGTATAAGTACACAACCACAGTGTACTGGTAGGATCATGCGGTTATCCCAATAAGTGAAACACATGCAAGTAACCACAACATTATAAAACAGGCATATACCAAACATATACAATGTTAATCATCTTTTCAAGATCAATGTTGCATTCTATGTTCCCAATAATACATATTGATTATTATTTTAGAAAAACAAACAATCTTTCAACCTCAATCATCATTAGATATGAACATAATCATTACAAGTAGATACACAACACAATTCAATGGTCCTCTCATGGAACCCATACTCAAACTGTTAGTGTACTGGTACGTGGTATCCGATCCAAGTTAGTGTGTCGAATCGTGACACCCGTTTCAATGTTTATGCCGGTACGTGGCAACCGATTCCAGTTAGTGTGTCGGAACGTAACACCCGATCCATTCAACAAGCCACAATCACAAGTACATTTTTCTAATCATTCAATCAAGTCATGATTCATGGCATTCAATTATTCAATTATCCTTATTCACTACTATTGTGATCAATAATGCAACATTTGCATACATACATGCATTATAATAAAGCAAGTACAAACATATATCAAACAACATGAAATCACAACCATCACCTACCTCAAAACCAAGCTTGAATCCTCCTAAGACACTTGAGCCTTCCCTTTCCGGATTCTTCCCGCTTGTTTGTGGTCTAAAACCATACAATTAATGCAAGGATCAATAAATGAGGCCTAATTACCCGAATTATAATCAACATTATCAACCCTAGGCAAACCCAAGATCCCAATACCCAAATTAGGGCTTTTTCCACCATTAACTTCAGACAAAAACCTTCCCCAATGATAATTATTAACGAAACTACGTTCTACGGATTGAAATACAGATTAGGGGAGTTAAATCCTTACCTTCAGTGCTAGAAAAGGTGAAAAATTGTCTAGAACTTGCCTTGGGTCGTCCCTTAGCTCTCAAGAATGAAACTTGCAGATTAATAACATTTTTGGGGTTTATTTCCGACATAAGTCATGATTGTCCCGCCACAGCAAAACCCAACCCACCACAGCGGCCCCGCCCCGATGGGAAAATCCCGTCTTAGCGTCTTGCATGGAAACAGTGAACAATTTTAAGAATTCCTAACCCCCATTTCACGACACACCTTCATCCCATGACACTTCGAAAATTCTCGTTCACGCTAAGATCAGTTTCGTGAGTTCTACTCACACGACTTTAATTTTGTAAAGTCGTACGGGTTCCTTAATGTCTTAGCTATCTACACATGTGATCAAATTCATAATTAGATCTTTCAATTGTTACGAGCTTTCCCTAGACCTTACTGACTCCGATTTCGTCCAAATCTGAACTAGGTTGGAAAATTCCAAGTTACTACCAAAAGGTTTTCTGGCCCAAAAATTTTCTCCATTGGCTTTTCTATAATGACGGGATCAGGTCGTTACAAATATGATACATTCTCCCTTTAATTTTTCATTTTAATCATTACTAATGATACATTTAAATTGGGAACTTTATTAAAATGATATAAGTAAAGCAAAATGTAGGGTTGAACTTTCTACACGTTAAAATTAGAATATTTGTTCATTTTTTTCAGCCTTTTAATATTTATTTATCTCTTCACCAACGATTATTTATTTATTAGAAAATTTAATATCTCCGGTTGATGTTCATTTGATTCCCTAAAATTATCAAATAGTAACACTTCCAGAAACCAAAAGGATAAATTATCAAATCAAATTAAAGATGATTGATTGAAGGATAAATGATAAAATGTTATAATTATCATCTTCCTTTACATTATTAATGTTTTTTACTATGTAATCTTGTATGTAAGATAATATAGTGTTTTAGTTTTAATGACCGGTAGATTTTAAATATTATTTTATAAATTTCGTGATATTAAATTCTCGCGCAAGACGCGAGTAATTTTACTAGTTATTAATACATGGAAATCTATTGTATTATTAATGCAATATGATTTAATACATGAATTAGCCTGGTTAAAAACCTAATTACTCCTAAAAATATTTCTTTTAATATATATTATTTTTCCATTATATTTGTGCAAGATATCTTTGTATATAAATATTTTTTTTAAAATAATGCAATATAAGCTATTTTAATGCATCAAATAGAACCATGCATAAGAAATCATCTGCATAACTAATGCAAGGATACAAATATTACTATCTATTTGATATTATTTAAATGTCTGTCATGTTCTTTAAGTCCTCGACGATCAGAGAAAAGAAAGGTCGATGTTTACACGTCTCTCAATAAATATAATTAATTATTTAAGCACACTTAACAACTAATTTCATTGATCGACATAAAAGTCCAGTTTAGATGCATGTATAGCTCTCATAAAATTACTTCTTTCGTTTTAAAAAGAATAATCTATTTTATTTTTTAATCTGTTTTAAAATATATTTTTGGCAATTTTTAATTTTTACTTTCTACGTGTCATGTTAAATTCATGTGTCACAACCTAAATTGTCATGAGTGACACCAACACTAAACCAACTTGATAGGAGAACCAAAAACTAACCTGAACCAACCCAAAAAAGCGATCTCCATAGGTTTAGTTTGTAAACAATTAATTCAAAAAATATTTTTTCAAAAATCAATTTCTAAATGTCGATTTTTTTCGACTTCTGTGAAGGTCAATTTAGACATTTTTAGTAGTGTTTTTCATGAATAAATGATTTTGAAACACAATTATATAGCAACACAGAGGAATGCTTAGTAAAAGAAATATTTTCATAACTACATATAATGCCTACAAAGTTCATAATTGAAAGAAATATCATAAGAAGCATATATAGATCAATCAAACATAGATATTAGTATTGAATGGTCAATTTTACTTATGTTCATCATCCTTCATGCACATAATAGTATATTTGATAATATTATATTATTTTATTTTTAAAAAATGTCTATTATAAGATTGAAGCACATGCAACACACGTGTCGAGAGTGTAGGTCTGTTAACAAGCCTCATATATATTAACTTTATCAAACCTTTTCCTTATGATATGTTTATCCAAATTTCAAAAGTCATCATTTTTTTCTTGAATTTCATGTCAAATTAAATCACATCGCATCAATTAAAACAGTCTGAACAATACAATTTTACCCAAGCCATTCAATTATCCACATTCCACATTAAGAGTTTGTTTAAACAAAGTAAAGAGAATTAAGCATCATTTATTGACCAAATGAAAGACGGCAAATTAGCCCATAGATCATCATAAAGAGCCCAAATTATTATTTAGGCATGTGAGGATGTTATATCCTCATCAGCCTAATATCCTCAATTAAACGGTCCAAATCTTGGTATGAAGAGCCACCTTCGCCAACACTTGCTATTGCCAAATCGCTCATATGTTTTGCCTTTTCCAAAAATTCAATTTTCTTCACATCCATCACTTGTATCACCATCCTCTCAATTGTGGCTCTATCACATACATCTTTCATGTCTATTCCAAGCTTCCACACTTCCCCAACATACCTACTATTTACTTGTTGATCAACAAAATAGGGCCAACAAATCATTGGCACTCCTTCTACTATACTTTCCAAAGTCGAATTCCACCCACTATGCGTTAAAAATCCACCAATTGATGGGTGAGCTAGCACTTCTTCTTGTGGAGCCCAACTAATAATACACCCCCTCTCCTTTGTACTTTTAACCAATTCCATGGGCATATTATTGTTGTCGTCTTCAAGTCCAATAATTGAACCGGGCCTCTGGACCCACAAGAACCTAGTCTTACTATTCACCAAACCATACCAAAATTCCAAGAATTGGGCCTTGCTCATTGTGGCAAGGCTTCCAATGCTGACAAATAGAACTGATTTGTTGGGCTGTTTGTTAAGCCAATCTATACAACTCATATCCTCTTTCCATATGCTGTTGGATGTTGGTGTGTTTGGCAAATATTGAGAAGATAGTTTTGCCTTCATTTGAGTGTGAAGAGGCCCAATGGCATAGATGTTTGGACATAGAGCTCGAAATTGTGAGAGAATAGGTCCTTCAAGGGCTTCAAATGTGTTGAATATTAGACCTTGGGCTTGGACAATATGTTTCCCCTCCTTGATTACAAGTTTGATAATTGGGATATCAAGGTCAGGTGTTCGGCAGAAACTAGGAAGATCTCGACGCCTCATCACACCTTCCATTCCTGTCACACCATTTACTAATACATCCAAGTCATTCCCTGTATGTACCAAGCAAAAACAAATTACACCCTTCCTCTGTATCATAAAAAAAGATTTTTGGTAATATTTTAATTTCAGTTTTTCATGTAACATATTTAAGGCCACGAGATTAAGGAACATTTTGATACATTTGACTTAATTTTAATTTAGAAACACAAGATTGAAAAGTTTTTTATTTTTCTTAAACTCCGTACCTAAGTCAAATTAAGGCATTCTTTCTGAACGAAAAAAGTATCTTTTTTCTTTTACATGTATCCTATAACTATAAGCAAGAAAATATATATTGAGATTTATAATTTTTAATAAAAATAAACTATAATTGATGATGTGTACTAATTCATTTTCTAATATTGCGCCTACGAAAAAGAAAAACGACAACTATAGCATAGTATCAAAACCTAAAACATATTAGCATATAATTTATATATGAGTCATAAAAATGTCATGATCTTAAATAAATGTGTCAACTAACGCATTAACTTTTGTCATCACAATAACCCGGCACGGCAGTCTTCATGAAAAATTATCTTATCAGATAGCGTTGCTGATCACCTAATTATTTGAATATTAATTTGTCTTTATTCTTTTACATGGACAAGAAAACAAAAGGTAAGGTAATACTCAAGCTAATTTAGCTATCGCAAAGAAGCTGCTTATAGAGACATTAAACAATTTTTTATTGTTTAAAAACTTTCTGTTAAAGAAATAAAATGATGTGACATGGTGTCTCATTAACAGAGAGAAGTATATTTTGAGGAAAACATAAACAATTAGGTGATATTGTGGTCTTAAAAGAAATAAAAATGATATTATAATTTATCGAGTAAAATTTTTTAGTCTGCTTATGATATAGTAAGCAAAAATCCAAAACTAATTTCTTGTAGTGCAAAAATACTAATGAGACTAACCTTTGAAAGGAATTTCTCCATCTTCAATGAGTTTTGGAACAGCCAAATAAGTCCAGAGAGAACAAGGACTTATAGTATCAAAATAAAGAAGTGGGATTTTAGCCTCTTTAGCTATATCAACAGCAAATGTAAAAATACCATCAACTATGAGACAAGTAGTAGTAGTCATCATGACCATCTCTCTGAAAAGTGGGCTACTCACTTTCTCTACACCTTCAATAATCTTCCCTATTTGGTCTCCATTTCTTGGATTATCTTCTGGAAGTCCATCTGGAACTGTCACGAATTTGAAGTTTGGATATTTCTCAAAACGGACTAGAATGTCCGTATAATTCATCAAGCGTTGATGGATATATTCAGTGTTGATGAAAGTGATATGAATTTCTTGGTGAAGGCATAAGAGTTCAGCTAGTTTAAGCATGCAATTTACTGGACCTTGAAGAGGCAACGGGAAAATAAGTACGTGAGGAACTGCCATGTTTATCTCTTAATTTAATTTCTTGGACACTGCCAAATTAAAATTATGTATGCTGGTTATTAATAGTAGGAGAAATTAAAGAGCTTTCTTGTTGGTTTAGTTTAATTTGATGTGTCGATGGAGTAAGGGAGATTTTAATGTGGAGCTAGGACATCATGTGAAAAATAATTTATTCTATATAAAAATATATTTAGTTTGACGGGATTAATTATGAACAATAATTTATGTATGACTGATGCATGTATTGACGTGAAATTCTATATAAAAAATATATTTGGTTTGACGGAATTAACTATAAAATATAATTTATGTATGACTAATGTATGCATTGTTTGGTAGTCGTTATTGCTTGTGGTAAATATTATAAGAAAATTTATTTATTATTTTATTTATGTGAAATAAAATAATTAACAAAATGGAGACTAAAATGTTTAAAGATAAGAAATTATTATATCATGGCATAACGCTACTACGCCACACAAAAATAGAAATTAATTATGAATTTCATCACTGAACTATAATTCGTAACTAACCTGACTTGTTAGTAATCTGTTAAATAGGACCGATCGAGACAATTTTTTTACTGTTTTAATGATAGAAATAGTCCGTTGCTATTTCCTATTTACTCACCATGAATATAATATTGATTTGATTAATTTATTGAACACATAAACAATGTAAAGCGATATATGCACTGAGATGCCAAAAGATTATAATAATCAAATTGAGTGGAAACACTAAGATAGGGACATATTGCTTAAAATATTGTTTCAAAGTAGAATTGGACCGCATTGCTGATGATAAAAGCCGCTGGAAAGTTTGGTAAATACTTGACCTGGTCTGTGATTTTGTTTAGTGGCGGAGCAAAAATTTTCATCGAACAGTTTAAAATTCAAAGAAGCCAACACACAAATAAATTATACAAAATTCAACATTTTTTAAATATTAAAAAATAATTTTAATTATTTATAAATAATAAATTTTTAATCAAGGCATCCTACCTAACTCCGCTCCTGGTTGTTCATAATGAAAGATGAGATTTTGCTTTTGTGTTAATGTTTTATTTCTCCAACAAAATGAGGAAAGTTTGGATTTACTCGGCGGAGAGATGATATTGTTTCTGACTTTACAGGATCTGCAAATGATTCTACAATAAAACCCCCCTAAAAAAAAAAACTGTGGGTCTTCTTTCGACTTGGAATATTTTATGGAAAGAAAAAGGACCGTATACTTTTTTCAACTTCTTTTGGCTTGAGAATTAATTAATGTCTGTTTGTTTTACTTTTCAAAAATATAGTAGGTAAAGTGACATTTATTCTTATCAATTTGTTCAACGACGATAATGATGTTCCACGGGATACGTTACTTCTTTTTTCTTATAATCATCGGATCAGCTAATTAAAAATATTTTCTATAAGAAATTTCTTTAATTTGAAAATTAAAATTTAAAATTTCTAATTAAAAATTAGTGATGGAATTAGAAATCTAATTAAGAGTGCACCAATTAAATCAAACTACATTAGTATTTTGTCATGCCATTTCTTCCCAATTCGTCCCCAGAAAATATCCCAATACCAAATATGGTGTAATAGATGGGGCTGCTTCTTCCATGATCAATGTTGTTTTAGATTCAAATTATAGGTATTAAAAAAATCTTTGATAGGAGCGCTTTCTCTGGAATAAGATCCTACGCGGCGTGAATCTAAATTAATCAAACTTTAAATATATATGAGTATTAAACACCAAATGAGAAAAAAATAAATACAGTGTTTTTCAAACGATTAATTTAAAAAATTGTTTCAGCAAGGATTCAAACATGTAGACCGCTCTGAACACCATTCACCGCTAAATTGTGGAACACAATTATTTTAAGGGTATTAATTATTTTTATATATAAGGGTGTTCATTATTTTCTCTTATTATATAAGAAGGAGTTCGTGCTGGGCACGTCGACCGAGACGTCCATGTTTCAAAAAATAAAATTAAAATTTATTTTTTTGTTCTGTTTTAATTTAATTAGTGTATAATTTTTTCGAAATTATGAAATCTTTTTTAGCTATGACTTTTAAAATTGATGTGTCTGCTTCAGCGTGTTTCGAAAAAAAATTAAAAGGTTATTTCTTTAATTCTACTTTAATTTAATTAGTGTATAATTTTTTTCGAAATTATGTAATCCTTTTTAGCTATGACTTTTAGTTTTAAATTCAAGACTTCACGCTGAAGCAGACACATCTTTGTCAACGTGTCTGCTTCAGCGTGTTTCAGATTTTTTTTAAAAATAATTAGAGTACTTCTTTTGTTCTACATTAATTTAATTAGTGTATAATTTTTTCAAAATTATGGAATCCGTTTAATTAGCTACGACTTTTTGTTTTAATTTTATATTCTTTATTTATTGCTTTATTATTTTGAATGTCGGTAATATTTGTTCATATGTTGTAACTACTTTGAGTAAAAAATCAACGATCGATGACGAAAAATACTTTCATTATAGAAATCTTAATGGACCTCTTGACAATAAATTTGTGCAAACAAAAGTAGTTAACCACTTAAATATCTAAAAATCATATTAAATTTAATCAACTTTTTAAATTCTAACTATATAGCATAAATTAAAATAAAAAAATACTAAATTATTGGGGCTAGCACGGACACCTTTATCTAATCTATATATATATATATATATATATATATAAATTTGAATCTAAAACCGCTGATATGGCATCCTCCAATTGCCAGCATTTGCAATTATCTATTATTATTTTTTTAATTATTTCTTTTTTTTTGCTTTAAGTTTTTATTGAATATTAATTAAAGCATAGCATTTAATTCTCTCATTATTAAAACACAAACATAAAATTTGTAGTATTGCATTAGTGCCGTATTAGTATCACTATCCATTGGTGTTGCACGTTTTTTGCAGAAAAAATGATCTCTTCTCCTTCCCCATAATTAACATTTATTAATAGGTTAACATAGTAAGCATTAGTGTTGCACGTTTTTTGCCCAGAAAATTCATTGCAATAATCTCCTTCTCCTACCCAATAAATAATATTTATTATAGGTATTAAATGTGGCAACTTTTCAAATTCTGACACTCAATAAAATGATAGAAATTTAGGAACAAAGTTCCAAACCTTCTCCACTATGCTAGATGAAAAACTCATGATGCTATATTTCATTAGGTAATATTAATTATTATTTGGCTTAAGTCATCAATCGCCCCTTAAAGTTATCCGCATAATTCACTTAGACACCTCAACTAAGACTTGTACCTATTGAACACCTAAATTGTTCAAAACATGTACCTATTAAACACAAAACGCTGATATGGCAAAAAATGTGTTTTGCACTTCCCTGAAGCGCGTGAAAAGATTCAAAATAGTGTCTTTTTGAATTTTTTTTATATTTTTTCTTCTTTTATTGACACTTGACATTATAATTAAATTAAAAACATTTTTCTTCTTTCATTTACACTTTTTTCAAAAAAGAAAAAGACCCCACTCCCTACCTATCATCTTCTTCATACTTTAGTTTGCAAAACATTCTTCATTTTAGCTCCTACATTGTTTTTCTTTCTTTTTTATATAAAAAAAATATTATTTCTTTCAAATATGAAGATAAATGAAAATCAACTATGAAGATTCAGATTTGAAAGAAAGTAAGACTTTCTTTCGTATGATTTATTTCAAATCTCATAAAAATAATGAACAAATATGAAGAAGAAGAAGAAAGAAGATAAATGATTTTTACGTATAAAAAAAGTTAGCCAATATTTGTTTATCAAAATTTTTGAACAAAGATTTTTACTCAAATTCATATATAAACCCATTAAATTTATCAAAAATGATATTCAAAAAATTGAAAGAATTAATTTTTGAGCTATCAATTTCATTTTGTCATCGATGTAGAAATGAATAACCGCTGGCAAAATTTTCTTTCTTCTTCACTCTTAGTATTAAAATGTATATATATATATATTTTTTTAAAAGTTAATCTTCAAGTTATTTGAAAAGAATTAGGTTTTGTGATTTGAGAAAGAATGTGTTTTGGGAAGAAGATGAAGATGAAAGGGGGTTGGGTAGGACTGGGGTTGGGTAGAATAGGTTGACATTTTCATTTTTTTCTTTTTCTTTTTAAAAAAAATTAGATATAAAAAGTGTTTAAAATAATTTTAAACAATTTTTTTATATAATTTTCGGGGCCCAGTGCCACATGTTATTTTTTAATTAGCCGTTTTGCCACGTCACCGCAAGTGTATCACACACTCTTCATATATTTTGTTGATTATCAAAAAATGTCTAATAAGAATAATTTTAAAATTGGTAAAAGTGTTCAATAGGTACTAGTCTTAGTTGAGGTGTCTAAGTGAATTATGCGAATAACTTTAAGAGGCCGCTGATGACTTAAGCCTTATTATTTTTATTGGATAATTGTATTGACAAATTTTCTTATATGAATCAAAGAAACATGATTTACTTATTCTTGGTTATACATGGTTTTAGGTGATCTTATGATCTCTTCTCAAGTTTTGCTTATGCATGTTTATTATTATGATTTCTATTGTTGCACTGACAATTTCTAATTTTTTATCTTTATTTTATATCATTTTCTCATAATAATTATATATATTTTCTTTAATTATTTAGAATCATTTTTACTATATGCAGATTTGTTCAATCAATTACAGAAAATGAAAAGAAAAATGTGTCAACTGACTACAACAACTATTCAAAGTATAAAAGAGATATTAAACCAAGGTTCGTCATTGCTTGAATGAGATTTGGTATATTTTAAGAGGAGCAAATGGACTGTTTATCAAACTATTTATTATGAGTATCTCAAATATATCTTTTTGATTATGCTTATAAATATTATTATTTAAATATCTAGAAGGTTCAATTTTACTTAATAAACATCGTGTATGTGTTTTGTTTTTTTTAAAATTTATTGATTTTTTTTGTTCATTATTTTATGTAAAAAAATTTTCTTTGTGTGTT